TATATATATATATATATATATATATATATATGGAGAAATGCGAGACCTTAAATATAGCTTAGTACTATACAAATTTATAATTTATATTGAATTAGAACTTTACTTTAAATGAAACTAGGTCTTCTTATTTATCTGATAGTATACCCTTAATTGCTCAATACTACAGTGCTGCAATATTAAAGCAAAAGAACTATCATTAATTAAGCTACTACCGAAAAATCCCTCCAAAATAATTGATACTCCCAATATCAATAAAATAAGACATACTCAAGACACTTTTGGGTGGTAAATTACTTTAAAATAGATTATTACCTTTAAAATTAATTTCCTCCAGTAATTATATCCTAATGTAATTACTTCGAATTATAACTTGGCGTGAAATTTGAGGTTAATTTTGACATATAGGGAAAAAAACGAGAAAGATGTGTAATCTTCGAAAGGGGGGTCCAACAACTTAATTCCATTTAGAAAAGAAGAACATCAGGTTATTGTTTTCCGCGGAAGAAAAATAGGAGAAGTAAGGGTCAAAGGTGCACATTCTCTGCAAGGTCGTTTTTCTATTGTATATTAGGATGAGGGTTGACAATCAAGGTGAGAAGACCCCACGCGGTCTGGAGAGCAACATCGCACGGACCCGCTTATCAGAGCCCTCTTTAAAGTGCCAAAGTCCAGCACTACCTCCCGCATCGCTTTCTTGCATATCACGCGCACCTATACATAGTCTTGCTTTTTATTTTTCACTCTTATCGGTGAAATACCTCCACAATTTGTGTGACGTCGCATTGTGTCATAATTCATTTGTGTTATTTAACACTGTACAGCAGTTACTTAGTGCTTTCTGATGCCATATTTCTTTTAGGGATTTTACGGCTGTAGTATTTTTTAGCTTTTAGAATGATTCCGCATTCATGTTTTCTATAAAAATCTAGACATATCTTAAAAGTAGTTTACTTTTAACGTGATTTCAAATGACGAGTTTTATTATAGACTTAAAAGTATATGTCTTAAATTGAAAATATTAATCTGTAGGGCGAAATAGAACACTTTTCTTTCAGCAAACGATCTTATTTAATGGTGGTATTACGGAATCGTTTTCTAATTTTAAACTTTTGTCGCAGCAACAAAATAAAATATATTTACGTCGTTTCTGAGTGACATTATTCTAAAGAAAATGTTTTAAAGTTGTGCAAAATTTAAAAATTTGTTTTGACACTTTTTTTTTCTTCATAAAATATAAATAGAAAGTCTTTCAATATTTTAATAATAAGAGACAAAAGTGTCGTTTTGCATAATTATTTATTCAAAATATTAATCTGTAGTGAGAAAAAAAGAATTTTTTTTCCAGCAAACGATTTTAAAAAATGGTGGTATTTCGGAATCGTTTTGTAATTTAAACTTTTTTCCCAAGAACAAAATAAAATATATTTACGTCGTTTCTGAGTGACATTATTCTAAAGAAAATGCTTTAAAGTCGTGCAAAATTTAAAAACTTGTTTTGGCATTTTTTTTTTCGTAAAATATAATCGAAAGTCTTCCTATATTTTAATAGTAAGAGACAACTTCAATGATAATGATAATTGGGTACATTTCATTACAACAAACATTTTTATTAACACACATTATTTATTATTATTCAAAGTGAAATTAAGATCCTTTAGATCTAAATTTAACCGGTTAGATTTCAATTGAATTTCAACTATCGCTTGGTGATTGAAAAAATAAACAATTAATAACTCGAAATAAAAATATCATTGGATCAGAACAAGTCAGAAATCAGGAATGTGTTGAGCTTGAATTTCAAAAAAAAAGGCGCGTAAAAATGCGACCTGTTTTTGAAGTAAATATAGCAAGCAAAGCGGCCTGTTTGTAATTTTATAATTACGCTAACATTCTTTTACTTAAAAAATACGATGTTTAAATTCCTCTCAAATCAATTTGCCTGCTCAGCGGAATGCGCAACAGGTGTTTGCGTCAAATGCGCAGGAATGAGTTCAACTTTCGTTACGTTAGGTTTATGGAGATAAATAATTGGCGATAAATAGCGATATTTTGAGAAAAAAAAATTTAATTAACAAAAGGCGGCAGTTCAATGGGGGACTAATAAGCATTCCTTTAATTAAAGCTGCGTTTCTAAGTTTTTGTTTTTTTTTAAATTTTAGTCAGTATTTCTTTGTTTTATAAAATTTTTTATTCGAATTATTAATTCCATTAAACAAATTATTCCACCTGTCTTTCAATTATTTCAAATTTATAAATTCTGAGAGGAAATAAATTTTGAAAAAATAACCACAAAATATAATTTTTTCATGCTTCATCGTCATATAGAGTTAATTTTGGGAATTGACAAACAAGGCCGGGATACCCTGGCTGGTAGGGCGCTGGACTCGCGTTCGTGAGAACGAGAGTTCGAATCCAGCCGGCTCAAGACTCCCAATGCAGTAAATGGAGACTGGTGCACTTTAAATATGTCAGGTCACATAGCCCTCTGTGTCCCCATGAGAAATTATACTTCTAGGGGCACTGGATCGTTCTCTAGTTCAGGTCAAAATTACGATCTGTGGATAAATATATGGATGTATGAATAGGTCAGTCCTATAAATGGGTGTGACGTATGGATGTGGCAGAAGTCGAATTCTTGGCTTAGATAGCGTTACTGAAAAAACAAGAACAATCTCATCCCCAGTGCCTTATTAGCCAACGTCAACAACAATTGATAAACAAATCTATAAATGAAGATTCTAGTTATAAAAGCAGGCGAAATGACAATTTGAAATCATTCAATTTTGGCACATTCAATATTTAGAACATTATTTCACAATATCCAGTTTTTACATATGATTATTTCTAGTGAGAAAAAATATCCTGCAAGTAGCTTGGGTCCTTATGATATTGGTCATTAGTCTCGGTTGTAGATTTATTTAAACTTCAAATCCCTCTAAATATGATATTCCACTAGGCTCTTCAATTAAGAAGTAATACTTGACGGAGGAACACTCTACGGTGTTAAGGGGAATTTTCTAGTCAAAATTGTTCATTACTTTGACTAGAAAAGATGTGTGTGTCTTATTTATGTGTGGGCGGAAATATGAAATTAGACATGTACATGAACCATGGGTAGAGGAGCTGTGATGGCTCAAGAGATAGTGCGTACGTCCAACAATGAGGTGAACCAGGTTTGAATCCCAGCTATAGCTGGTCGATACGAATTCCGCATACGGCTTGCAACGACCATAGTGCTGATGTAAAAATATCACCAGTGGTAGACAGATCATGGGTTAGAGTCCCCTTGCTGTCAGGCTAACCGCGGGAAGTTTTCCCCATGTAACGCAAATGCGGGTTAGTTCCACCAAAAAAGTCCTCTACGAAAGCAAAATTTCTCCTAATATCCCCACCGGCCGAAGACTCCCCGTGTAGTAAATGGTGACTGATGCACGTTAAATCTGTCGAGTCACAAAGTCCTCCATGTTCCCATAACAAATCAATACCTCTGGGGGTACTGATCCAGGATTTCCCTCGTCTCCTGGATTGTGTAACCAATTATTACAAAGCTACGGAGTTGAACATTGGTAGTCGTAAACCCAAGATATTGAGTCGGCTGTTCAACGAAGGTTATAAAATAGACTTTATGAAAGAACCATGAGTAGGGGGAAATCCCATGAACAGATCGCTACTTACCATGTATACTGTCGGAGAGTCCCCTGGCGTTTACTGCCATGTCGACTATCTGTACGTGCCTTCCACTGCACTGGTTATAAAGCTTATACGTCCGAATAACGTCTTGAGAATTCTGTAGAAGCGATTCAGCTTCTTTTTCTAAGCTGACAGACAAACTGTGACAAGATGCCTACAAGAAAATAACAATATTATTTTTATATTTCCGCACACACATAAATAAGAAAGATATAGACCGGTCACCGTAAGAAGACGATTGAAGTCCCTTTAACGTTAGCTGAAAAGTGTCATTGGTGTGAAACTTTTCCCCCGTTAAACATAAATTTGTTTATACGTAACCCGTCTTTTAACTAATTGATTTTTATATCCCTACGCTTCATATGCTGGGCCGTCTATATGTAAAAAAAATCAATACATAATTCGACGAAAACGCGTTGCATAATAAGGAGAACAAATAAATTCAATGAGCATAAGGTTAAAAATACCATAGAAATTAATAGAAAAACAATACGCAGTGTATCAAAGGGAAAATACAGCGGGGAAAAACAATAAAATTCCTAAGGGTATAAATTCCATAGGGCAAAATTCGTACAGAAAGGAATAAATATCATACAATTTATTGTTGCGTAAAGGAGAAACGTACAAAGAGATCAAAGAGTAAAGTATTATACAAATTCGGATGATCTCCAGAAAAAACTTGAGAATTCTTCAGGTAGGATATGTAGTTAGAATATTAGAGAGGAAATAGCCACAAAATGATACAGTTAATAAATCGAATATTCGAAATCCTTTTGCAGTTCATTTTGATAACAAATGCGTGTATAGCATTTTAGAATATCAATAAATAAATTTGTCATCAAATCCAAATCTCGAAGGTTAATAAGGCAGATTTTAACAAACAAGCAAACGAAAAAAAAAAGAACAACCAAAACTAGTTGGAACAACTTGTCTAACTAGAAAAAAGACAGTGTCACAAAATAATGCTTCCATTAATAAAAAAAAATCGAATCGTCTGATTATTCCAGCTAAGTTCTAAACCCATGTCATGGACATGTAGCACATTTGTTTACCGTATCCACAGTATGAATCCGTTCTGTCATTTGTCCATTCCGATCACGCGGACATGATGAATGTTCAGGAGCTGACTTGGGAGCTGTGGTGGGGTACAGACTATTGCATTGGACATGCAATGCCGCCGATAAGAATTGAAATGAATGATCTGACATCCGACATTTGGAGATGTGAGTGCGTGGCTGTTTCGCGCCCAGATTTCACCGCGTGGGTCGCTGAAAAGACAGATAATCTCTAAATTTTCTTTCTCTCCTCTATTTTGTTTTTTGGAAACTTTATTTCGACCTTATGGCAATAGTAGAACGATATTAAACGATGCAGCGAATTTAAGGTTTATGGAGAGTTATAATCCTGATCTGGCTTACAAGGAAATGAACCAGAGGCAAAATAATATTTTCTGACTCCATCTAATTTATGATGTAAATTTATTCGCATAAATTTGACTTTTTTAACATATACTTGTTTTACGGATATGTATTACATAACTAGAATTTTTTTTTTTTTTGAGAAACCTTTGGTAGAATTCAAACGCTTGTTTTAAAAAGTATTTTTAATTATTTAAAAGTTTTGTCGGCGTAAAAGTCACCCGTATTGCGTATTTAAGTGCAAAGCAATTTCTGTTTATATAAAGCTACAAAAATTTTAAAATTCTCAGTAGCGACCACTATCTGTACCGCACTAAAACGGTCGTTAATGGAGGTGTGTCGTTCTTAGGGCTTATCGAAGGTACATGATTCTTCGCAAAAGATTTTAATGAATAAAACATAAGCGTCAGTAAAATTGTCCCCTAATTTTGAGTAGAAACAAATTTACCAATTATGAATGATAGAATTATTATAAACAAATAAACAATTGTGTTTTTGGTTTAAGTCTGCATTAATTTTATACCAGAAAAACTAACCTTAAACAGTGAGACTGTTTGCTTGAAATGCTCCGTTTTTTTTTCCGTTCTAATTTAACATTCAATTTTAAAAATAAATGAATGATAGTATCGTCTTTAGTGCTTCTCTGACTGCAACAAAAAGTTGTAGATTTCTTTCAGAGATCGTCAAAAAAGAGCTCTTCACAATATTATGAATGCATTTGAATCTACTTAAGAGAGACCATCAAAACCTCTCCCAGAGACTGGACAAATCTCCGCACCAAATGCGGTAAAGATCAAATGAGGAAACACGAAAAATTATCAAAACAAAAAATATTAACAAAACAAATAAAGCTTTTCTTCGACACAAAGTCTATGGAAAAATTCCGTGCCTCCCAAAAATGGTCATAAACAGTCTTTACTGGAGGTTTCACTATTATTATACGTTAACAATTAAAATTGTTTAAAAACTAGTTAGCATGAAATGGAAAATATGATAAAATTCAATGAGAAACAATAATCATAACTGTTTAACCTTTTTCTTTAAGAATAAATTTTAATCAACAAAAGGAAGATTTTCTTTCTTCTTAAAAATTCGTTTTATTATTCTCAGACGAAGATTGTCGGTGAAAATATAAGTTTCACGTACTTACAGACTATTTTACAAAACATTAATCAAACTGCTTTGCATTTTTTTCTTCCTTAAAAATATATCTGTTTTACAAAACCCTTTTCTTAATTAAATTTTAATCAACAAAAGAGATTTTATTTTATTTAAAAAAGAATCGTTTTCATTATTCTCAGGCAAAGATTATCGTTGCAAATATAAGTTTCACGTACTTACAGACTATTTTACAAAACATTAATTAAAACCGTTTTGAGTTTTTTCTTCCTTAAAAATATCATATAATATATATATTATATAAAACCCTTTTCTTTTTTTAAGAAAAAAATTTAAATTTAACCTACAAAAGGGATTTTATTTTATTTTAAAAAATTCGTTTTATCATTCTCAGACGATGATTGTCGGCGTAAATGGAAGTTTCACGTACTTACAGACTATTACCAATTCCAAAATTCTGGAAATTCCTCAAGCATAACGGAATCTAACACATTTGAAAAACGCTTTGTTTCAGTTTATTTTATGTATATTTTTTTTTCAGTTTTTCGTTTATCTTTGGGTGATTTGTTAGTCCCATACATCAACCGTAAACAAAGCTTGATGGTAAAGGGCAAGTCGAAATGAAATAATGATATAAAAACAAGTTGTAAGGATTTACGGATATATGTATATACATTTCTAAGAAATTTATTACCAATGATTTCTTCTACCGCGCTATANTTTTTTTTTTTTTTTTTTTTTTTTTTTTTTTTTTTTTTTTTTTTTTTTTTTTTTTTGACATAGCCAATTTTTTTCTCTAAAATATGAAGTCAACTGTAGGCGTTTACGTTTTGGCGGAATGCCACTGACGGCGAAATAAAGAGTTATATTGTTTATATGTTTTTTTCACTACATTTTTTCAGCACAAATGTTTATTTTTTTTAATTTTTTTTTAGGGGGAAAATAGCTTTTTGCGAATGCTTACGGCACCATATTAAGGGGCAGTTAGGGGGTAGGAAGTATTTTATCAAATTAAAGTTAATATAATATTTTAAAATAAATACATAAAACATAAAAATAAGAGAAATTCACATACAAAAAATCTAAAATTATAAGATAAAAATTTTTTTAAAACTGCATTCAAACATTTAGTATTTGAATAATTATGTTTTAGTATTTTAGCATTTAGTTTTTATTTACTAAAGCATTCAAAGTTGAGCATTAATATATCGGCACCTTAAAGAACATCTTATCACCAAACAATGACCATTACCTTAAAGCATATTACATACCTAAACCTTACGAAGTTACAAGCCGTTACCTTAAAGCATATTAGATCACCCAAACAGTGCCAAGTATCTAGCTAGTATTTCATAGTATATTACATCTATTACATCACCTATGCATGGTCAAGTATCAAGTACTTTAAATATATTACATTACGGCCAAGCACCTAGCCAGTACCTTAATACATCACACAACCATGATCAAGCACCACATTAAAGCATAAAATTGTACAACCTTAGTTAAGTTGAATCATGTTTCTGTACAAGTTGAACTATAAGATCGCGTCAAAGAGTACGATAATACGACTCAACTTAGTTCCATATTCCGGTTGTAGGGAATTTGTACATTAAGGTTCAATTCATTCTAAGTAAACTGAGTAGATGGATGATAAAAAAACAGTTCAAAGGATCCAGCTTAGAACGAGAGTTGTGATATGCTAACGTTTGCTGACAAGGAGGTATGATCCTTGCTTACGTAAAACAATAGATTCCTTTTTTTCGAATTAGCACCGAAATAATTATATTGTGGTCAACTTACATCGATGGAAAAAAAATCTTGATCTTACATAAATATTAGAGAAGAGATCCTAAGTCAACAAAAATAAGCACACTTACATCATGCTTGCATGATTTAAAATTTATAAATTTTAAGAAGGCTTTTTAAGCAAAATTGTAAGCTAGCATTGAGAGGGGAAAGTTTATTCGGAAGCATTGTTAGTTAAAATGTCAAATTAAAAACATTGTTCGGTTAAAAGCTTATTTGGAATTATTGTGGAAAACTTAATTGACAACATTGTTGAGTGAAGAACTTATTTGGAGACACTGTAGGGTAGAAAACTTAATTGAAAACATTGTTGGGTGAAGAGCTTATTTAGAGACACTGTAGGGTAGAAAACTTAATTGAAAACATTGTTGGGTGAAGAGCTTATTTGGAGACACTGTGGGGTAGAAAACTTAATTGAAAACATTGTTGGGTGAAGAGCTATTTGGAGACACTGTGGGGTAGAAAACTTAATTGAGAACATTGTTGGGTGAAGAGCTTATTTGGAGACACTGTAGGGTAGAAAACTTAATTGAAAACATTGTTGGGTGAAGCAGTTTATTTGAAAACATTATTGAGTGAAAAACTTATTTGGCAACATTATTGGGAGAAAAACTTATTAGAAAACATTTTTGTATTTAAACAGCATATTTAAAAAAGATTCTTAATGCATTTGCATATAAAACTTTATTCGATATTTTCCCCATAAAGGTGTGTTTTAAACAGACAACAGGGCAGACAGAGTTAACAGCAAATTAAGTGATAAGAAAATTCTGTTAGTAATCACGGAAACTATGCACACCAATAATCG